GAAAAGACACAGAGTCTCTGAGAAGAGGTAACAGAGCCTCTGTAGATAGTACCAGAGCCTCTGTGTCTGCCACCAGAGCCTCTGTGGCTATCATCAGAGCCTCTGTGGCTGACGCCAGAGCCTCTGATCGAATAGGCGACCTTTTCAAGATCATACTCTRGATAAGGTTAATCCTAAAAGACTTAGTTTTCTAATGAAGATTCCGAAATAAGGTTCTAACCTGGAAATCCAAAAGTGCAGAGTTGTTACATTAGGGGTTGTTTGTTTACCTCTTAATGGCCCCATTAAGAGACAATCTTTGAATCGTTAAGAGGTGAATCTTGTTTGGCAAAAGAAAACTATGTCTCTTAATGATTCTAAAATTTCTCTGAATGATTTTGCATCATGGGTCTCATTTAACTATTCAGCGCCCTACTTTCATTGTAAATAATTATCAAACAATTATATTTTATTTTGCACTATATCATGAGAGCCTTCTAATCATTCTGACCATTTACTCATTCTGCATTAAATCATTCAACAACTACCAAACAACCTTTTAGATCCTAATTCCTATCATCACATATTTGCATTACAACTCTCTAAGTCATAATTCATGCATCAATTTTAAAGTCTATGCTCCTCCCCTCAACTGTCGTGTCCCAACCCATTGAAAATTATTTTATTTGTTATAATGTTCTTGATTTGATCGACGGTTAAGTTTATGGTTTTTTTTTCCAACTATTTCTTTGCATTTTACGATGTCTCGGTATAACATAAACAATCAAAAACCCAATCGAACAATTTATATTTATTTGATTAACTTAACGTCCAAGTGGAAAACCAAATAACCTGAAACCGAATAATATTAATAACAATAATGGTGTCATCTGATTGGTTTAAACTTGTCTCAAAAGATCAAAAATGTCTGGAAGTTTCAGTTCAAATTTAAGTATGAATAAAAAACTTCTTGTTACCACAAAGATTCAAATACGGTGACTACGAACTATACGCAAAACAGTTGGGTTGTTCTAAAATTAGTTGATTTACATAACATATTGGATATTCTGATTAATTAAAAAAAATAATATTAATTTTATATTTTATGAACTACATTGTTTCACTGTGATTCCTTTGTGGTCAACGGTGGAGTGCAGACCAATCTTTGTCTCGCAGTTCCCAGCGATGTCAGACAAAATCAGCCCAAAAAGGCCGAAACCCAGATGGGAGCGTCTGCAGTTCACACGAATAAATGCTCCACAATTTCGACATCAATGGGCGGGAATGGATTGCAATCTTGATTTCAAAACTTAAATAATTTTACCATCTTTTTTTCTCTATAAAGAAAGAAAAGGAAAAAAAATCCAAAAGCATTCATAAAGTATCGATATTCACTCACCATCACATGCTCCCTGACTCTACCTCATGTTATATCTGCCTGCCATGGTAGAACCAGAAGCTTCATAGAATAAAACCCATTAATAATTCCAGTGGGGTTGTTTGTTTTCATCAGATATTGCTCTGACATTCCTCAGATCTTTGCACTGCTGCTTCCTGTTGTATTGGGTTTCAACATTTATTTCATCTTCTTCATCTCCAGTCAAAGGTATATATCGATTCAGATTTGTTTTCTTCTCAAACTTCTTATTCTTTTCTCCTTCTACGCTAAAATCCTACTTCCTTCTCTTCTCTTCAATTCAAACTTTAACAAATTTATCCAGGTGAAAATAGATTCCATTCAGCGGATTAGATTCGATGTCTTGTGTTTTGATTTTTCGGGTATTGGGTAATCGTTCTTCTTCTTCTTCTTGCCGTTTGACTGTCAGTCGAATGTTGAGAATATTGGGCATTTCATGATATTTCAGCTGAATGCCCTCTTTTGTTGCTAAATACTGCTCCATTCATTGCTGATGATACGATCTATTCTGGCTCCATATGGTTGTATTGGAAGATTGGGTTGATTTTGAAAGAGTGAAGTTCGTTTTCTCTTTTGGGAAATGGGATTTGATGATTCAAATCTTATGAACTTGTTTATAATGATTTGCAGCTGAGAATCTTCTGCTTTCTTTTCTATTTTAGTTAGATATTTGCTTTCAATACAAGTTACAAATAATTTGTTTTAGGTTGGGTTAGGTTTTATTTGGTTTAAAAGGCACGGTTTCTACTTTTGTTTTGTTTTTACTTCATGTTTGTTTTAAAATTTTGTTGGTTATGATATATTTAATTTAGAGTTGAAGTGGTAATCAGAAATATGGTGGTGATTCTAGTTGTGCAGATGCATATGTGAATACTGGTTTGAAATCTAGTGCTTCAGTGAGATGGAGAAGAGGAGTTGGTTGTGGAAGAGGAAGTCCTCTGAGAGGAGTCCTGGCGAAACAGAAAGTTCGACATCAATTTCTTCTCATTCCGAGAGTAATTCCGATGAAAAGGTTCAAATCCTATGGCATTTTCTGCTGATATATATGTATAGAGACGAGGAGGGAGGGAGATTCAGGAAAAAAAACCCCTAAAAATAAAAACCAAGGAACACTCAGGTTACCATTCATTTGGATGATATGCACACGTGCATACAAGTAATTGAAGTTGTTTCTTGGTTTTTATGCACATATGCATGTTATGCACATGTGCATACCGGAAATTACTTACAAATTACTTGTATGTACATATGCATACCGTCCCGATGAACGGTTACCATAGTGTTCCTTGGTTTTTCATTTTTTTTTGTAGTTTTCTCTTGAACCTGACCCTATATACATATATAATGTTCTAATGCTTCAGATGTTCAATGCTCATTAAAAGCAAATGTCCTCTTAGAAAGTAGATTTTATAGTTCTTGCTGGAGTCTTAAAAGTAATTCTTTTATTGACTTGTTACCCAAAGAATAAATTGATTTAATGAATAGCATCATGACTGAGTTATTTATTGAAAGTTCCTTAAGGGATAGGCAGGTAGTACATACTAAATTGATTTGGCATATGCACAGGTTAAGATCATATCATCATTAAGCCTTTTCTGTATTCATAGATGAATATGAGATAATTCTCTATTGGGTCTTCTTACTTCAAAACTGTACTTGTTATTTATGGAGTCAATCCTCTTTGTGAAGGTGCCTATGTGTGTTCTTAGGCACAACACAAGGCACAACTTCGGCACCATCGTTGATGTCAACTTCTCTTTCTCAAACATTATGTTGTGTTAGTGTCAAAATGTTGTCCTTGTTAAGTCTGTCTTTTTTCTACATATGTGGGCGTCCGTCTGTCTGGGCCAACTTGCGCGCACCTCAATTAATCCCATGCCCAAGCCTTAAAGAACTTCTTTCAGGTAGAGCAGAATGTCGCAATTCTGAGATATAAGAGTAGTACATACGATGGAAAACTAAAATTTCCACAACTTTTTGGTGCTCCTAACATACATGAGGAGTATCCGAATAATAATGACCATTTTCCACCATACTTTCTGCCGGATAGTACAGTACAAAAACTTGTTGTCCAGTGTTTGATGTGACATTAGCCCGGACAAGACAGGATCTAAGCAGGATAAAAATGCATTTTTTGTTGATAGAACAAAAATAGGCAGATGAGACAAGATTGATAAATTACTAAACTACCAATGTCAAATTAAAACCCTAAAACCTTCGACAATTCTTTCACCTGCCTATCTCACTCTTGTGCGTTCAGTCCCATCCTTCACAATCCGGCATACCAAACGCACGTTTTGAACGAGTGTATATTATATTTCTTATACTTGAAGATCAATTTGTTTCGAATCCTTATAGTTTTAGTTCAATGTTCATTGTATCATCATCTCCTTTTTTAGGTGGAGCAGGATAGCTCAAGAAAATCTCTGAACCATACACAATCACCTGAAGTCACCTCAAAAATATCGAGCCAGAACTCAGAGGTAAATGACAGTTTTAAGAGCCTGACAGAAAAGTTATCAGCGGCTCTTGTTAACGTTGGTGCTAAAGAAGATTTGGTTAAGCAACATGCAAAAGTTGCCGAAGAAGCAGTTGCAGGTAAAAGATGTCTGTTTTATCTAATGCTTTGACTGCTTAAGAAAGCTTGATTGCACTTGATATTCATCCATTTATATTCTTATAATTTGGTGCGTCTTCTAAACCATGTTTGCCAACTATGAGCTAGCTTATTTTTTGAGCTTACTGAAAAATTCTGTTTGGTGAGCCTTAAACTAGCTTTTTGAAACACTACTTCACATAGCATTTCAACAAGTTCCAGGGTTTTTTCACTTTTTCCAATTATGCCCTATTATATTTTTCCAATTCATTTCTGAACATGTCCTTTTAGGTCATTTTACAATGGCATCTAGCTTATCAAATAGTTTTTACCAAACATGATTAATTTATCAGCTAACAACTAGCTTTTTAGTTACATCTGGCTTTTCAGTTACATCTGGCTTTTCAGTTTACAGTTAGTTTATCAGCTAACAACTAGTTTCATCAAAGGTGGCTAGTTATCGGTTAACAACTGGTTTGCCAAACATAGCCCCAAGTGTTTGCTCTCATATGTTAATTGTGTTAATATGTTGATAATTTAGGTTGGGAAAAGGCAGAAAATGAAGTTACAACGTTAAGACAACAGCTTGAGGCAGCTGTGCAGCAGAACTTGGCTCTTGAAGTTCGGACGAACCATCTTGATGGTGCTCTCAAGGAATGTGTCAAAGAATTAAGGCAAGCAAGGGAGGAGCAGGAACAACGGCTTAAAGAGGTTATAGAGGAGAAAACGCATGAACCGGAACTGACTAAAACGGAGCTCGAAATCCAGCTTTCTGATCTCCAGGCCAACAAATCCAAATATCCTCCTCCTGCTGATCCAAACATCCTCCTAAAACTTGAGACATTAGAGAAAGAGAACTTGGCCCTTAAGTTTGAGCTCTCTGTCCAATCAGAGGAATTAGA